CTACAAATTTGCAACCTTGACCTTCCACATTAATCTCTTTTACACATTAAACAGCTTTACTTCCGAAACTTGTGCTATTAAAGTACTTAACTTGTAAAGAATTACATTTCTGGGAGATCCTTCAACATTACTGGTCCTCGACAATTTTTCATGATAATTTACAAAAGCGACAAGAGCGTCATCAAAAAGTTTTTGTCATTTGGGGTCGTTTGGATGTTAAGAATACAACAACTCTTTATCCCCTCTTGTAGTAAAGGTTTTTTTTTTTGGTTTGTATTTCATTTTATTTGTATTATAAAACGGTGTTATGGAGTGACTGCGATGGAATGGAACGATAGAACTCGATAGAACCAGATCCGCTATAAAACCTTTTACCTATTCAGATCAATTGTGATGCAGAGGTGCGCTAGGGCGTTTCGCAGATAATGAGAGTTTGACGAGTAAGGATGCGCCAAACCACTGCACTCAAACCTAGACCTACAATTGATAGTGGAATCCGAACCACTCCTTTGATGACATTTCTGTATGGAGCCTACAAAAGAGGCTATGAGCCTCATTTCCAGTACATATCATTCGAAAAAGGACAAGTGAAAAATTTCCCATACCCAGTTTCGAACCCATGATTGCTGTGTCGGTATTGCAATAATTAGGTACCGAAGCACTAAACCATTCCGCAACCGAGCCACTTCAGCTCACAAGATCCGCTAAAAAGAATCCTAATTACAAGCATTACTCTGGTTTATCTTAGACTTGAGGTCTTTAAGAAGGATGACATAGGTTTAGTATAGTTTTGAGCATTCCTAATCATAAACTAGATTATACCTGAACCCTTATTCTCGGAAAACCTTAAACTTCAATTCTAGGATGTGCTTGAGTCACATTTTTAAATATACAACAAGAACAGGACTCTATGCTAGGTATCCTGTGCAAAAAGCCACATTTGGATCTTTCAGCAATTCAAAACATCACGCAATATCCAATCAACTCCAACTGTTTCTTCACATTTCATGAATTTTCATCTTTCTCCAACAAAAAAAGTCGAAAAAAGTTTTCAATATGCAAAAAGTTTCTTTGTCAGACTATTACAAGGAAATTCCATTGTGTCAAACTTTTGTTGAATTAAAGGAAAAGAAAGAAAAAGTCATTGCCTAAAATTCCCTGCAGAGAGGAGCAAAAGAAAAAAGTCCGAGAATGTAAATAAGTCGTTAAGGAAAGCATTTCTGATCCTTTTTTGCTTGCTCTCAATTCCATTTTCTATTCAACTAAAACTATGACAGTCCACAAAACAAGTTCTGTGAATACTTTAGACGCAACAGAATGGAAAATTATGTTGTCATTGCTACGGGAATAGATAAATAAATGAATATACATAATTTTCATGCTTTTGAAAGCTTATATTATAATAGATGTGGAAGTGAATGACAAGATGAGATATTTCACATGAGGTTAAATGTTATGAAAATGGGAATGAATAAGCAACAGTAGGACGAATGATTTCAATAGGGAATATAGTACAATGAGGTACATGTGGGAGGATGGGAAATGTGATATTTTGCTATGTGCGAATTCATTCTTTGTGATTTCAAATGCATGGGATTTGTAGGCTTTTGTGAATTGTAAAGCTTTCTGGTTTGATGTTGATTCCTGGAAATATTTTGAGAGAGAAAACCAATATTTAATGACTAGAAGTTCATGTTTGAAATCATATTTCTTGCTATTTAAGACAACTATCGATAAAATATTGGAAAGTTCTGGACAACCACGACTAAAAGCTCCAGATACCCTTCCATCCGCTGTTTCCTTTGATTGACCTTTGTAATCAAAATATCGTAATAACACAGAATCAATATTTCATTTAAAATCAGCAATAACACAAATGTTTATTTGTACAAGCTATTATCACATACAATTGTTGATCCTAGTTTAATATTGTGATCCAAAAATAAACATCAAATAATGCTCGTTGCTTTAAACATATTTGATTACTAATTGTTGCTTTCATTGTCTATAGACATTGAGCTATTTAATTTCGCATTTTTATATGAGTCGGTTGTTAATGATATCTCATGTGTAATTGGGGTAGGATTATTAACTATTGTAACTGAACAAATCAGTTCCTAAAGCTGTACGATGCTGAATTTCCTTTCTAACATAAAAGAATCTTTTAAATAAAAATTCGTCATTTATAAACTATTTGAGTTAAATTGTTTAACTAGAAAGCGGTGAAATGGCATCAGTGGCCTAAATGGGAGAGCGTTGACCTTCCGTTTTAAAGGTACTGAGTTCAATCCCAGGCCATGTCTAATTTTCGAAGCTCTTTTTCCATTTCACCGTTCTAGTTATGAAGCTCTGTTCGTGTGTTGGGTGTAGTATTGATGTCTTTGGCATAGAATATGCCTCCTTTGCTAGGTATACAAGGATATGCTTGCATCTGGATGACTTCCTTGCGGCATATTGCGAACACGAATTGTGACTAGGGACATTGGTTAATTAGAAAATTTAATTAAAATAATAAATTCGTCAGTAGACAAATCTTAAAGTTACATCTCCATCCATCCATAACATCCATCTTTTATAAGATATCTTGAAAACGATTCAAAAGCACTTTTTCAGCGAAAATTTATTTCCCTACTAAATTTCAAAAAGGACGAGCAAATAAAGCCTTTAAGTTTGAGTTGTTTACGTTATCTTGATGCTTTTATTGTATTACATCAGCTTAAAATGTTTAACCGCCCAAGAATTTTCTTCCTTCTTGTTTTTTAAGGGATTATTTTGAGCGTTATCTAACTTCGATCACATCAATCCATTAGAAGTAATGGCCATTGTGGTTTTGAAATGTTTCTAAGCCCGAGCTAAAAGAGAGCTTTGATTTGGTGTTGTTACATGACTATTTAGTAGTTAAGGACTTAAATATCTTGATAACAGACAAAGAACATGATCTGTAGGTTTATAATAAAGCCACTAGGTAGTCGTAGCTTACACTTTTTGTTGCCTAATATCACTCTATTTGCCTTAGTGCTACGCGTATTGTCTAAACGTGGCCGTTTACGAACGGAATTTAAAACAAATCATATTCCTGAGGTTAAAAGCTGCTTTGACACTTTTAGGCTTGTAATTAAAAAATGTTAACATAGGCATGTCCTTAGTAATCAACTTCTCATGTCTCCAAATATTCTAACCTAGAAACAATGTCTTCATGTTCACCTCGGGCTCTTACCGCACAAAAAAAAAGACAATGAAGACCATAATGAGAAAACAAGATCGAGTTTAGCAACAAAGAAAATCTTTCAGATAATAATGTTGTGTAATAAAGATAGACTAGCCACCGTTAATTTACTGAAATGGAATTTCAGGCTTAGTTATCTCAAGTACGGTTGATAACAAGACCATTTTCATTTATCCTCTTATATCATTTCTCTTTGAGAAGGATGAAAGATGTGTTTGCAGGGGGAAAAATTGAAAGGATGCTGATGACTAAAGGTTGGAACTAAAGAAGAGTTTTTCATGTTGAGATAAGTGAAATTCTACCTTTTTTGATAATAAAGAAACGTTCGTGAAAAATGAGACAAAATTCCTTGAAAAATTGGACAATTAGAAACAGGAAAAAATGGGAAGTTGTAACGTACTTTTCTCTTCGTGTACATAATTGCCTCATCTTGTAATAAAGTAACATAAATCTTTAATTACTTCTGCTTGTTATGATTCTTGTTACGATGGTCTTCAAGATTTTACTATGTACAAAAGGTTTATGTGAACATTATCGGGTAATTTTCTGTATTTTGTGCATGTGTAGGCGTTTTATGGTTGAACATTCTTTATGATTCGAGTTAATCTTGACCCTGAAAATTACATCTGTAAATTACAAGAAAACCACATTTAGGAATCGTAATTTTAAAAGGGTTTATGGGAGGTGTAATGTAATTAAAATAGTTTTATGGGTATAAAGTTTAATTTTTGTTGTTGCTGAAAAAATTAAGGTTTTTGAACCAATTTTATTAAAAATTGATTAAGCTTCAGATTTTAAATTTTCAAAATTTAATGGATTTTAAATTTATGTTTATAAAAAAAAGATTTTCAGGATCCCAACCCTCATCACAAGCATTTAAATTAAAAAAATTTAAAGGCAGTTCCACTATATCCACAAAATTTTTTAATAAAACTTTACATCCAAAATGTGGTTTGGGAAAGCCGAAGTCTGACTCTGATGCTGACCAAATGTCAAGTGCATACCTTCTCTTAGTATCCCCACATTCAGGCTAGGGATGTTGAAGGTTACAACCAACCATTCTCGAAATCATCATGTACAAAGAAAGCAATATCTCAAATGGGTGCTTCATGCAGAGCTTGAAGTCAACTCGAGTCGACTCAAACCCTATCGACTTGGAGCTCTGCCTTTATGTCATTAAACAATCTAATCAATTTTCCTAATGTTTTATAAGTTCATAAGAATCACTTTAATTTTTAATTTATTGGACAAACTTACTTTGACTTTTTTCTCGTAATATTTTTCAATTAAGTTGTTATTGTCAATCAAACTCAATATTTCCAAAATTATTTGCCCCGAAAAAACATTTTCTAAATTAACTTTTTTTTTTATTTACTTCCATTTTTTTAACATTCCATATGTCATATTTGACGTCGATTCCAATCAAATTTAATATAAATGACAAATTATAATGTAATATTGACCATTCTGTAGATGAAATTATCGAAATTGAATTTTTATCCAATGCTTCAAGATTGACGACCTTTTAATGGTCAATTTTGTTCAGATATTATGTTACTGATTTTTAAAAAAAATGAGGAGGGGAAGGGCGGGGGATAAAATATTTTTCAACTAAAAAATAAAACTTTAAGTTCGAAAATTCAGTAATTGAGAGCACTAGGGAGATTCCGATAAATGTGAACGACCCTCATTATTGATTTGATAAAAATAAATCTGATAAAAAATCTCTCAGATAAAAAATAAATTTCTTTATTGCTTAAAGCAAGATTCAGATCGAAAACAAAATGTTTTTCCACGAAACATTAAACAACACACAAAAAAAAATCAATTCTCCGCTACAGCCATCGAAAAGCCAGCCGGTTCCATATTGCCTACAGCAACAAGATCACTTTCATCAAAAACATTCTCATCATCGTTTTGTGTTTGACTTAAATTTTGCTTATTTATAGTCTCCATCATTTCACTTTCATCCATATTCATCGTCTTGAGATTTTTTATTGTTTTTTGGTCGCTCTTCATGAATATACTTTCCATTTTATCGACTAGTGTTGGTTGCTCGTCGGCCAATTTCGGATTCAACATTATCCCGATTGGCATTTGACTTTCGACTGATAAAACTGCAGATGTTGGTTGCTGCAGTCTGACATTACTGTATGAAGATATCACGTATGCTGGAATGCATGTGATTCTCATGGTAATTTGTAGAACTGTCAATGCTAATAATAAAATCTACGGATAGATGTAGAAATTATTTTGACATAGAATAAGGTACGATTTTGTAACTAATTTACCTTCATCATGATGAATTATTTATTTTTAATATCCAAAATATGCACTCGAACAGTTGTGTCTCGCGCGTTCCACTTGTGACAACTCAAAAATCAATACTAAACGAAAGCGTACGGAAATACTTTTGAATTTATTTTATCTATTGACATTCAGCAATCGTTGGTCTCTTTTCTTCTGCTTCTTCTCGTGCCTTTCTTCTTGAGTCTTGAGAGCGGAATTTTTTTTTTTATCTTTCTTTAATGTTGCTGAGGAAGGCACACATGAAATATTTTTGGTGTGTCTCTTTATCACTGCAGAGAGCGGAAGATGAGAGAAATGATAAATAAATATTTTGAGGCACTTCTTTGCATTCTTATATGGGTTTGTTGTAATGTTGGATGGTATAGGTATATTTAGGGATTGTTGAGTAGAGGGGATGGTCGAGCTCGTCTGATTTTATACGATTGTAAAATTAAATCATTTATAAAAAGGAAAAGGAATGGGCGGGAGGAGGGGGAGAGGGGATATGTCTAAATTATTTTCTTAAATCTTTTTCCAAATAATGAAGTGATGGTCAGCAACTCTTTCTAGCTCTCTCATAGCTATAGTGAAGACTCTTTGGAGTGTCTCTCGCATATCAGGATCAGAGTTTCTTTCTCTTATATTTTTTATGTTGGGTTCTTAGAGGGAACTACAATTATGTTGCTGCTTTTACTTCATGCTAGCAACTGCTCTAAATTCTCATAAATCCGACTTTTCTTAACAATCCCACTTCAAAATGAACAAACTTTATCCAACAAACTTATTCTCAAGCATCTTTTGAACACTGAAAATAATGAGCAATAAAAATTAACACCCAACTTTTTGAAACTTCTCAAAAAGTAGCCCTTCATTTATATCCAACATAATAAAATACATTTAATAACTTCGAGTTACATCTTCAACGAAATCACATTTACCATTATTATTTTTTTGTTCAAGAGCAGGCCAAACTTTTTTTTACGAGAAGGAACAAAATTTTTTTATTTCATTCAATTTTGTTCATAAAAATTGTAGCAAAATAAGGCAAAAGGATACAAGAATTAGAAAAAAAAAACTTTTTTATGAGTTTTGTCATCATCACGAGAGAAATCAAATTTTTATTGAGTTCATAAATTTAGGATTCTTATTATAGGAGTATATTATAGGGGTGGGGAAAGTCTGGGATTTTTTTAAGGTTCATACAAATGAATTCTTAGTTTATTAGAGTGAAAACTAATCCTAACTCTAGTGATGGACAATCTGTGGTCTATGACGCACTAGTGTAGCTCCCCAAAACTATCAATCTAATATCTTTGACCCCGACCTATCCAACAAAACTCCAAACAAATGAACAATCACGTTAAGAATTAATTAAACGTTAATTTGACAAGCAAAAACCCGGCAATCCGTAACGGAGAGTATTGAGATAATTGAGAGAAATTTGTCAAGCAAATAAAAACCATTTTAAATGTCTAATGATTTAGCAAAACATCATGAAGATGAATGAAAAGAGTACAAGAAGAGAAAATAATGCAGCTAAGAGAAAATGTGAACAAATGAAGCTAGAAATGATTTGAGCAAGATAGATGAAATATGCAAATAAATGCTGCATAAAATGCGAGACAATTCATCACAACGACACATCTGATAATTAATTTGATTCATTTTTAATGCAGGAAATGGATGAACGTTCAATATTTTATCGTAAGCTGAACTTTATACAATTAGATGTCGGATGAAGCTTTTGAAATGTCAATGGTATAAATCATTTATGTGATGCATTGAGAATTTATTGATTAGTTTATGAAGTTGTGGAGAATGAGCAATTTCGAAGCTGGGGGATCTAGGTATATGTAGGTAAATATGCCATTACTAGAATAAAGCCGTAAAAGGACAGTAAACATCTGCATTCCATAATTTTGTAGAGGAGATTGTTCGATTCTCACTAGAAACTGATCTCTCAAATAATACAAATAGTCGATATGATGTAGGTTTGCACGATTTTCATAACATTATGCTCCAGATATCCAAAAATACTCAGGAAAATCTCAAAACAATTCCTCATTTTACTACCTCATTAAACATAAATCATGTAAATCTAAATGCTTATTAGAGTTGTTGAACATCGAAATTTCACTAATTTTTGATGTTCATAATTAGAAAAACTCAGGACAATCCCACTATAAGCTAGAGGCGTCATTAGTAAACGACCCTTTAAGTAGACAATCATTTTAATTATAGATTGTATTTATAAGTATCATTTTGTAAATATTCAGTAATTACATCCCTGACATTTGCTATTTTAAGTAACTTGTACAACTAATTGTATGCTCAAGTCATTGAAATAAAAATCAAATCTAGGTTTCAGGGAAAATGAGGGCATTTTGTGTCTATCATTAGAAACAACATAAATACTAATTTAAGCTTTTATTGTTATGGCAGATAGTAAGAGGGATAGTTTTGTAGAAAACACTATTAATAAGTCATTGACGTAGAATTCTTTTACCATCATAATTTATTTATAGAAGAGACATACACATGGAATGAAATGGAAATAGAATTATCAGAGCATGTGTGTAAAAAGCCTTTATAAATTGAAAAACTTTAACCAAAAGCAGGCACATAACCAGGGGGGGGGGGGGGGACAAATCAGAAATTTCTTCATTTTGATAGGCATTTTTTGAAAAAATAAAAAAAAAATCCACTCCTTCCCTCTGAATTTTCCATATAATTTTTTTTTGTCCTCCTTCTTCAAATTCCTGGCTACGCCCCTGTACAAAAGGTAAAAAAAGTTTGCCAACGCTATGAATCAAGTGAACAGGTTTTTGTGCATACAAAAGCTTTTGAAATTTGTACAATCAACATTCATGCTACATAAACTAAAAACTCTCAGTTCCTAAACTTAAACTTAGACATCTAAAGGTTGAAAAATTTTTAACTGTCTGTGAAAATATTAATCAACTAAAGTAAATAGCATATACATTCTGTTTACTTGGGAACTTTTGTGTGGTTCTATTCATATTAAACTTTTCACGAAGCTGTTGCATTTTAATGAGCATGTAAATTTTATCAACAATGCTGAGTTGAAAGTTTGAATGTTTACTAGGATGCTAGGTATAAGTTAATATTTAAGAAATGTCCTCAACCTATCCCAAAAGCTAAGAGCAGTGTTATTCAAACGTGTTCTTTTATCAGTAATGTAATCCGGGGATGAGCAACGACTTCAAATTCCGAAATTCAAAGTTAAAGAGCCTTGTCATCATTTTTAATACAAAATTCAATCCCGGAATTGAAAACCTTAAAACTATTCTACATACGTCGTGACCAGGGGCGTAGCCAGCCCGCCCCCCCCCCCCCCTACGTAAATCTGATAATTGTTTTATTAATTATTTATAGAGAAGAACCAGTTAATGTAGAGAAAGTGATGAAAGAAATGTCAAAATCAGCACGAAAAATTAAATTTAATATATGAATAATGAATTAAATATTTAAACTTATGAAGAATGAATATAGATTTAAGGATACAAAACAACGGTTTTTTAATTTTCGAAAATGACCCCCCCCCCCTTAAAAATTTTCTGGCTACGCCCCTGGTCGTGACATATATGTGTATAGCGACAATGCCTTGTCAGAATGGTTTTCTGGATTAAAATCTATTCTTTGAAGAAAATTTCATTAATTTTTGCATTAGTTTTTTAAGGAAATAAAAACCTCAACTACCCCAACCTCCTCCCCATCAAAGTAAAAAAAGGGTTTACTTTCAAATAATAAGCATACCCAACGAATATGACTTGAAGTCATGCATACATAATTTTTTAATGAATCATAAATTACAAAATCTAGATTAAAATGAGAAAAAAAGGAAGTTAATTTTCCCCATTCTACAAATGCTATTCAGAATGTACTTTACATAAAAGACTATAGAAATGGCGCGACTCAATGTAAAAAGGATTTTCATACAATGTTAAAATTACATTTTCAATATCTAGAATGAAGATATAATAAAAGAAAATGAAAATTTAATAAACGAAAAGAGCCTTGATCCATTTTATATTATTATGCGATTTAGGTCATAATGCCTTCTTGTGTTGCTTATAAAAAGTTTTTTATTACATCCAATAAAATATAGAAAAGAAAAGCAGTTACGCGTTCCAAATTTCCTTTATAAAGTGCCGAAATTACGAGTCAAAAAAGCTGTAATAAAATGCGACAATACAAAGACATTACATTACTGTCTCATGTCTATGTATTTTACAATAATGCCATTTATCTGCAGTAAATAAAAGAGAAAATATGTCATTAGATTTTATTTCGTTTCGTACTTAATAGCAGTTTCGCGACATTCATTCCGTACATTATGGTTTCTATAAAAATATCGAATGAAGGAGACTGTATAATAATAAGGTTGCCAGCGGGTGCTTGATGTACAATAGAATAAAATTGCAGAAATAACGCCCGAAAGCTTTTTGCTCCTTCTTGTCTTCTTTCTTTTATTCATATCAGCTACATTATTATTATTCATGCTTCCATCTTTTCTTTCCCTTGATAAATGAGCTCATTTGAGCATGACACAACAAGTAATTTACAGAAGACTTCTCTATCTTTGTCTCATTCGATGTATAAAGCATGAGTTTTGCATTTATAAACAGTTTTTAGTTTCTGGAAGAAAATTGGAGAAGTAAAGGGGAAATTTGTAGGTTAAGATAGCGCTTTTTATGGAGAATTAAGCTTTCAAAGATATATGCTACAACTTCAAGTTTTGAGACTGACCTGTTTGTTGATCCAGCGATGTTTTAAACTTTAGCCTCGTTTAAATCATGCAAATTAAGTATCTATATTTCTGAAAATTCTTAAGTTTAAACTTCAGGATTCGAACTGACGACTATTGAGTTATCCGTAATAAATTCAAGACATGCACTAAATTATTGACTTAGATTATAGCTAAAACTGCTTTAATTCCAATACAAGTTAGTGAATATATCCATAAAAAGTGTTTTTACTACTTTTTGCAAGTTTTTGATGTGAAATACGTCGATTGGACTTTTGAAGCTTTCAATTTGTTGATTTTTGGTATTTCAAA